AAATATGTACCAAGGCATTTAAACCGTAATTGTCTGATTTTAAAAATGAGGCTTCTGAAATAATTAATAGAATTGCCACGTCTTCCAAAAACAATTAGAACCCCCAAATCCAGAGACTGTCTAAAATCATGATATTTGACTAATTACATATCTGGGTGGGTTTTTTTATTTGGGGGCTGATAAAGACCACTTGTCAGCAGAAAAAAGCTTGAAAAATGCATGCCAAGAGGACTAGAAATATATTTGATAAACTTAGTTTCATTTTAAAAGACAATGAAAGCTGAGATTCTCACATAATTACAGACCCCCACCTCTCATATAGGGTCATATTCTTTTTTATTTTAAAATGCTCCTGTATCACTACATGATTGCCAAGGTGCTTATAAAAGTCCTAAACAGGCAGCTGAAGATTTCTACTTGAATACAGCAAGTCCTCTGATGCAGAAGCAGACACCTGCTAAGTAAACAGTATTCATGTGTATGTGTACACAATAAGAATCAAGAGAGATAGATCTAGCATTTGAAATCTTTTCACATATAATTTGTCTTTTAACTTGTACATTATTCTTTTCCACTGTACCTGGGTAGGTATCGATTCCAAACCTTAGTATAATTTTGATTCTTTTATTTTATGAATAATTGCTAGTATTTCATGCTTGTACACTTGCTATAACCCAGATTAGTCATTCAGTTATTTACAGCCCATTTAAAGACCGTTTATTTAGGAGGATAAGAAAGTATGGTTACTAAGCTAAATAATCATGCTGTTGCTGTTTCTCCAGATGCCGTTGTTAGGACTGTCTTGTTTATACAGCACAAATATTTAATGAGATGTAGAACCAGGTAACAGTGACCAAAAGGATTTGTCTTCCCAAAATTGTCTCCCATTACAATTAGGAATCTGTTGCATCTCTTCTAATTAGAGGCACTGTGTTTGAAATTTCTTTACTGCACTGGAAATTAAATGTATGAGAACAGGATAAGTATCCCCATCACATCATTCCAGATGACAGTTTTGGAGCATAATAATTTTTTTCAGTTTATGCATCACTATCCCACTTCAGCTCTTGCTGTGCATATAAGCGTGTACCACTGAGAAAATGAAGAAGACTTACCTAATATCTCAGGTCAGTCTTGTTACAAAATTCACACAGACAATTTGTTTCTGTGATTTAAATCCTTTATGTAAAGCTGCACCAGTTATATGTTGTCTCATACTCATAAACCTTGCCACTTTTATATTTTAGTATCAATTTGTATGAAAAAAGATATTCTAAGGTATCTTTAGAAATGCTGTTTATTAGCATGGGAATACATTGTACCTACTATTAATAATCTATTTCAATGCATGGAATATTAACCAAATAACATATTTTGATCTTGAATTGAAGAACACACACGAAACAAAAAACCAGCCTGATCGTTTTTTATTTTAAAATAGCTAGGTGCTGATTCCCTTGCTCAGTGAGATGTACACACTGAATTCATAATTCAAGAGAAAAAGAGATGTTCAACTGTCATATATTACTTTGGTTGTGTTCTTCAATATACAACTGACCTAATTCTTTACTTAACATAATTGAAACAGAACTTCCTCTAATACAAGTGGGTTTATTAAAAATGTATAGCTTAAAGCCATATCATGAATGATGAATAGCTGTAATTCCTGTTTAAAATAACTGAACTCTAAAATAAAAAAGAAGGGATGTTCTGAATACCACTCTAAGCAATGTTGCTTTAAATGTTTGATATCTTCCAATGTCCATGAAAATTACTGGAAGCTTTTCCATAGGCTTCCAGGGATGTTTATCAGCCATTTGACCTTTTAGTACACTGTTCTATTCCAGTAAGTACCAATACACCAGGCTAAGCCAAAAGCTTTGATTTGTTCCTTTTTCCAGTATATGAAATGTAGGGTTGTATTTTGGTTTTTTATTTCTACTTAGGACACAACCAGTTTTAATGCTCCTCTTCTAAGACCTCGTGTGATTGGCGAATGGATTGGCCGTGAGGAAAATGATGCAGATCCATTGGCTGCTGAAATGTTGCAACCACCCATACCAAGAAGTAAAAATGAACAGTGGGACAGTGAGGATAGCAACAGCAGTCCTGGAGGAAGGTGAGTTCTGCAGTCAGTTGCTTCTAAAACTACGTTCATCACACAAGGAAACAGAAATTCAGTGTGCACAAACTGCTCTCAAGAAGGGCAAAACTGGTTTAAGATGAATCTGGTTGGATGTAATACCAGACTTAATTGATTTAAATCAAATGGGTTTATGGAACTTCTGTCCCAGATTCCCTCCTGGTTCAAGTTAACTTGCAGTTCTCTAGCATCCCAGGATGCTTTGCAGCCTTTGGCTAGGCTGTCTTCTCCAGTGGAGCAGGGACTATCTTGCCCCTCTGCTCCTTTAGCCTGCTTCCTGCCCACATCTGTCAGCCCATAGGGACTGGGGGGTCGGGAATAGACCACCAGACTGCCCCAACTAGGGTCTATACAGCATATGGGGGGAGGGAAAGCCCCTGTGGCAGGAGCTTTATGACCCTCAGAGCCCTTCCTCCTCCCCCTTCCCAGCTGGGGACAGTTTCAGCAGATGCCACAGGAAGGAGGGAGAAGTCCTCCTTGTTGAGTACCTGCCCATGCAGCCCAGCATGGGGGCAATGGGGAGCCCCACACTGGGGGGGGGGGTTTCCCCTCACCCCAGCCCAGGGTTTCGAGGGGAATTCCCCTTTCAAACCCTGGAGATGCTTGTCTTAGCTCCTGTGAGTCTCAGGCAGCATCTGAAATTCTCTTGCTCCTTTGCAGCCAGTTTTGCCTGAGCTGCTATGAGTCTGAAGCAAAACTAGTTGCAGCGGAGTCCCTGAGACTGGCAGTGCTGAGGCAAGCAGCTCTGGGTTTAGGGAAAGGAAGAATTCCCCTCAATTCCCTGTGCCTAGGGGACCCTGGGCAGGGGGAAGCACCCCAATGTGGGGGCTCCCTGGTGCCCCCATGCTGGGTTACATGAGCAGGCATCTGGCATGGAGGACTTCTTCATGCTTCT